CCATTCAGAAGTGGTTGTCTATTTCGCACGACGTCGCGTTCCCTTTTGCCGCATTCGTTGGCGAACCTTTACATACGGGCCGCGGGGGCATGGCGCGCTGGCCTTCTAAAAGCGAGCATATATTTCGCAAAAAGCGGTGTGCGTTGTTGTTTGTGTAGCCGTAATTATAGCAGCGTGGCAGTAGTAGTAGTCGTCGTCGTAGTAGTAGTAGTAGTGGTAGCAGCAGTAGTTGTGGTAGTAGTAGTAGTGGTAGTAGTTGTTGTTGTAGTAATAGTAGTAGTAGTAGTAGTAGTAGTAGTAGTCGTAGTAGTAGTAGTCGTAGTAGTAGTAGTAGTAGTAGTAGTAGTTGTCGTAGTAGTAGCAGTAGTCGTACTAGTAGTAGTAGTAGTAGTAGTAGTAGTAGTAGTAGGAGGTAGTAGGAGGTAGTAGTAGTAGTAGTAGTAGTAGTAGTAGTAGTAGTAGTAGTAGTAGCCGTAGTAGTAGTAGTAGTAGTAGTAGTAGTAGTAGTAGTAGTAGTAGTAGTAGTAGTAGTAGTAGTAGTAGTAGTAGTAGTAGTAGTAGTAGTAGTAGTAGTAGTAGTAGGTAGTAGTAGTAGTAGTAGTAGTAGAAGAAGAAGAAGTAGAAGTAGAAGTAGAAGTAGTAGTTGTAGTCGTCGTAGTAGTTGTAGTAGTCGTAGTCGTAGTGGTAGTAGTAATAGCTGTAGTAGAAGTAGCAGTACCAGCAATTATTGGCAATGCCACTAATCGTAGTCGTCTGCGTAGTGGTAACAAAAGCAGTTATAGTGGCAGTAGTAGTAGTAGTCGTAGTAGTAGTAGTAGTAGTAGTAGTAGTAGTGGTGGTGGTGGTGGTGGTGGTGGTGGTGGTAGTGGTGATGGTGGTGATGGTGGTAGTACTGGTGGCTTTGCGTGGATAGTGCGAGATGGTTCGGTTGCTGTGGTTGTTAACGTATGCACATCATTCGGGAATCTGAATATCGATTCGTCACATGAATACCCTTCACGTACATGAGCATCGTTCAAGCAACATCATTCAATGTGTATGTTTGTGTATATGAAAACGCATATAAGTGCGTCTATGCACATGTACGTATGCATACGTGTATGTGGACACGCGAGGGTAGATGTATACGGCTATCTAGGTACACATGTGTACCCACACCTACAGGCACACACGTGATATATATATATATATGTGTATGTGTGTACCAATATCTGTGTATACACATACACCTATATGTATGCAGAGTTTCCTTTGTTGCCCAATCTGGTCTTTTTGAACATGGTTCATTACATTTTCTTTTGAAGAGAAAAGGTCGCCTCAAAACACAATCGCCCTCAATAGAAAATCGCCCCCAAACAAACTCTGCAGCTGCTGTGTCGGGCAATGTTACAGAGGGGGAAGGGTGGAGTGCCAAGGAGAACCGAGGAGGAGGATGGAGTGCCGATGAATGCTGAGAAGTGCCGAGGAGGATGGAGTGCCGAGGAGTGCCGCCGAGAAGGGTGGAGTGCCGAGGAGTGCCGAGGAGGAGGGTGGAGTGCCGCAGCATGCCGAGGAGGGTGGAGTGTCGACGAATGCCGACGAGGGTGGAGTGCCGATGGTGGAGTGCCGAGGAGTGCCGAGGAGGAGGGTGGAGTGCCGAGGAGTGCCGAGGAGGGTGGAATGCCGAGGAGGGCTGAGGGTGGAGTGCCGAGTAGTGCCGAGGAGGTGGAGGAGGGTGGAGTGCCAATGAGTGCCGAGGAGGGTGGAGTGCCGAGGATTGCCCAGGAGGTTGGGGTGCCGAGGAGGGTGGAAGAGGGTGGAGTGGCCAGGAGGGTGGAGGCTGTCTTCTCGATTTGTGGAGGTGACCGGGGCCCAAGAACAGAATATGAGGCCCCGTAGAGGCATCGTAGAGGCCTCTAGGAGGCCTCCTAGAGGCATTGTAGAGGCATCGAAGAGGCATCCTCAAGGCATCGTAGAGGCATCGTAGAGGCGTCGTTGAGGCATCGTAAAGGCATCGTAGAGGCATCGTAGCCGTATCGTAGAGGCACCCTAGAGGCATCTCAGAAACATCGTAGAGGCATCGTAGAGGCTTCTCCTTTCTGCGACGAGTAAGATTTCCTCACGCTTCAGAAAAAGGAACCAGGGAATAAACTGCTTAGACCGGGGAGTACTCCCTTCTATCGGTGTACATACCATCAAACCGGTGCTTACAATTCGAGCGTTCACGGGCGCGGGGGGGCCTCCAGAGAGAGCAGGCCTTTCTCTCTCTCTCTCTCTCTCTTCTCAGTTGTTGTTTCTCTCCCTTCTCTCTCTCTCTCTCTCTCTCTATCTTTCTCTCTCTCTCTCTCTCTCTCTTATCTCCCTTATTCCACCTTCTTTTTATTCTCGTTTGTTTTTGTCTGTCTCTCTCTCTCTCTCTCTATCCATCTGCCCTGGTGTTTGTCTGTATTTTTTTGTTTGTTTGTTTGTTTGTTTGTTTGTTTGTCTCTCTCTCTCTCTCTCTCTATCTCTCTCTTTACACTTCCATGTTCCTGTACGTTTATCTGCCTCTCTCTCTCTCACTCTCTCTGTCCCACCCCCCCGATCTCCAACGACATGTTTTGTTCAATCCCGGCGTCTTTCATTGATTTCGGCAGTTGGGGCTTGTTTCCGGGGCCCTGGCGGGGCGATCAGGAACGGCTCGGGGCAGGAACATTTGCCATGGAGAAAGGGTCGGGCCTTCCTTGGGGGCCGCGCAGTGGACATGATCCTGGCGGAGGACCCAGCCGCGTGCATGTCCGAGGACCGCGCCGTGGGTACCAGTTTCGGTGGTGCTTCCTGTGCGGCCACGGGCCACGGTCACAGTCGGCGAACATACCCGTGTCCCCGCCCTGGCGGTCTGGATTCTGGGGGCGCGATCCCGCGGACACGTTGTCGGTATGGATGCGTTCCGCGCGGGGCGTCCGCGGACCGCGCCGTGGGTACCAGTTTCGGTGGTGCTTCCTGTGCGGCCACGGGCCACGGTCACAGTCGGCGAACATACCCGTGTCCCCGCCCTGGCGGTCTGGATTCTGGGGGCGCGATCCCGCGGACACGTTGTCGGTATGGATGCGTTCCGCGCGGGGCGTCCGCGAAGAAACTCCCCGCGCGGGGCGTCCGCGAAGAAACTCCCCGCGCGGGGCATCCGCGAAGAAACTCCCCGCCCTGCGGACACGCTGCCGTTGTGGATGCGCTCCGCGCGGGGCCATCCGCGAAGAGGCTCCCCGCCTCCCGCGGGGGCCGCGGCGCAGCGGCCCGCCCCGCGAGGCCGGGGATACGGATGGGGTTCTGCCCCGCCGCGGCACGCGCCAGGTGCAGCAGACTTCCCTGGGGCCGCGCACTGCGGCACGCGCCAGAGACCTCCCTGGGGCCGCGCGCTGCGGCACGCGCCAGATGCAGCAGACCTCCCTGGGGCCGCGCACCGACGAAAATCACGCCGTCGGATGTCTGGGCCACTCTAGACTCCAGCCTTCTGTCGGGCAGGTCCCTCTACAGGGTGGGTATCCCAGAATAGTTCAAGCATAGTCGGGGGATGATTGCTCGAGTAGGTTTTGCTATATTGAGGTATGTTTTCTGATTATGTTTCATTCAACTTCCAAAATCCGCCTGTAGGAGGATCTGCCCGACCTAACTCTAGCCCGCGCCGTGCGCGGAACGAGCGCGCAGGGAGGCCTCGGCGGCGTTAGGAGGCCTTCAGGCAAGTCCAGCCTCCCCCCCCCCCCAGGGGGCCCTCTCGGACTTGGACTCTCTCTTTGGCAAGGCATGGGGGCGAGACGCTGGAGGTGTCAGCAAAGGCACGATAGTATTGAATACAAGCGAAGCAAGCAGACACAGCGCACGGAGAGAAAAAGTGCGCGGTACTGAGGGCACGACCAGGCGACCGTCGTCCTGCTCAATCTCCCTCTCATCCGCCTCCTTCTCCGCCTCCTCTTCTTCTTCCTCCTCATTCTCATTATCCTCCCTAGGTGGTTCTTCACACCTGCGCCGGACTCTGAGTCTCTCTCTCTCTCTCTCTATCTCTCTGTCTCGCTCGCTGCACGGCGCGCGGCGCCGCGGTCGCCTGCCGTGTCCACCAGGTCAGTCGCGAGCCCCTTGCCAGTCACACGCTGGAAACGCCGCGGGTTCCTAGCTTTGAGCGCTTAGCCCCCAGCCCAATGTGGAGCGAGTGGCGCGCGGCGCTTCTGGCTGTGGCGGCGAGAAGACCTCTGTCTTCCTTGGTGTCGGCCTGTCCTCTGGACCCTGGGGCGCTCTCGGCGGCTTTCGGCGCCCCTCGAGTGCGCCCTCTCGCGCAAGCCCCTCTGTGGACCCCTTCGCCGTTGTCGCCGGGCACCCTCGGCGATATTCCCTGGAGGGGGTCCGGCCCTTCTCGTACGGCGGGAGGACGGCCTGTAAGGGCGCCCTGGATGCCCCCCAGGTCGCCACGGGGCCATGGGGCCATGGGGTGCCCAAGCCGGGGCCCAGAGGTGGCGCCAGGAGGGCCCGCGAGAGGCCCCGAGCTTCCGCCGACGCCCCCCGCGCAGCACCTTTTGGCCTGAGCCGCTCGTGCCGAGCGCAACGCACGCCAGACATTTCACAGTCTGCCTCTGAGCCAAGGTCATCGACGACGCGTAAAAGTGACCCTTTGGCAGAGTGACCCATGGCGCGGGCCCACTGGGGCCCCCTGATCGCTGACCGCGATGTGCGGCAGCAGCGGCTTGTGCCCGTGGGTTTGGCTCCACCGCGCACCTCCCAGACCAGCGCACCAAACGTTACTCCAGATTGCTCAGGGTCGCGTTTGCGTGTAGCCCTCAGCCCAGACCCCCGACGTTGTGATTCTTCATGACGTGACCCTCAGAAATCTGGACCTCTTCCCGTGGACCGGTTTTTCATCTTGATTAGTTTTTGAGGGTCCCGAGGCCCGGTGAGGGCCCCCGGAGGCCGAAAATGGTGAGAAACATCCAGTCGTATTTTTGTTCACAGCGGGTCTGGGTGTAGCCTATAGGTCAGCCCGCCCCTTGCGCCCGATGGGGGGGTCGCAGTCCAAACCCGAGCCGGCGCCAGAGCCAACTCCGGCCGCGGATGCCAGCGGGATCCGACCTGCGCACCCAGCAGCGACGCTGCCCGTAGCAGTTGCGGCTCCAGTGGTGCCAGCGGGCGCTGGGATA